ACATGATATGAAACATGAAGCTTATTTTCGGACAAAGCTACATAGACAACAATCCTAAAAAAAATAACAAATATAAATACAAATACTTACATAATAATATTTATAATTCCATCAAACCATAGTTTATTCATTTACTAACAATACGATTATAAACATAAAACGCCTTTAAATATATATATGTATATATATAACAAATTATTTATATGAGATTACATGTCATTCTTGACAAGGTGACAGTAAGCAATCTCAGCGGCATCCTCCTTTGCATCCGCTTTTTTACTGCAAACTTTTCCGGTAAAAGTTAGATTGTTAATCGTAACTTTACAATAAAAACCACCAACTGCATTTATAAAATCAAAATTTGGACGATCCCAACGTTTTGCTTGAGCTTTCTCATATAGCAAACTAGTGAACCTTTTAGCTTGAACATCATTTCTTATTGGAATATTTTGTGATGAAGAACTTTGATGATGAGGAAATCGTTGAATTGGAGAGTTTAATGCTCGATATGGATGATATCCATTATTAGATATTTGAGATGAAGATGGTAGAATCAAAGATCTATCCGTACTGGTTGATGACGTTGCTGAAAAAGATCTATCTGTACTGGTTGATGTCAATGCTGAAAAAGATCTATCTGTATTGGTTGATGACATTGTTGGAACCAAAGATCGTTCTGTGCTGGCTGATGACATTGTTGGAGCCAAAGATCGTTCCGTACTGGTTGATGACATTGTTGGAACCAAAGAGCGTTCTGTACTGGCTGATGTCATTGTTGGAACCAAAGAGCGTTCTGTACTGGCTGATGTCATTGTTGGAACCAAAGATCGATCTGTACTGGTTGATGTCATTGTTGGAATAAAAGATCGATCTGTACTGGTTGATGGCAGTGTTGAAGTCAAAGATCGATCTGTACTGGTTGATGGCAACGCTGGAATCAAAGATCGATCTGTACTGGTTGATGATAATTGTGGCACAAAAGATCGATCTGTAGTAGTTGAAGACATTGTTTGAATTAAAGATCGATCTGTACTAGTTGATGATAATGGTGACGCCAAAGATTGTTCAGAATTTGTTGGCAACAATGATGCAGTCAATGAATGTATTCTAGATGATTCATGAGAGTCATTCTTAAATTGCAATTCTTCATCCAATGAAGGTAATACTAAGCTTGCTGTACTAATATCATTCGCGGCTGAAGATAAATTTAATCCTATGTAATTATTCGGGACGATCTGATTGTTCGAATTACTTATCGATAATGTGCTTTTTGTACTCATACCATTAGTTACTGGCAAATTACCAGGTGGAGGTAAAATAGCACGCATATTTTTAACAGGATAAGAATCTGAAGCATTTCTAAGACTTTTTTCTTGAAGTCGTTCTTGCTCACAGAATTCTTGATATAGTAATGAAAAAGCTTTTGCCGCAATACAATCTTTAGCATCAGCCATCTTTAAAAAACCTACACCTTCAGCACTAAAAATACGATCACCAACAACACAATCAAAAAAATAACGACCTCTCTCATCAGTTCTTCCACGGTACTCTGGAGTTGATAAACGTTTCATCTGACAATATTCTAAAAGGATAACCCGAGGCTTTTTTTCCGGATGATCAATTAATTGTTTACGATACCAAATCTCAGATTTTGGCATAAAATTTTCATCTACAGAATTTTTATCAGGTGGTTCAAAATGGTTCATTACATCTTGACCCACAGAATCAGCAATACCAGGATATGAACTTTCATTTACAAGATCTTTGAGAGCAATAAGAGCAACATCTTCTTTCGCTTGTTGTTTACGTACTCTCGGTTGATCAGTTCTATAAATTTTACCGAAGATTTCAAGTTTACAATCAAAACGACCAGAAGTAGGTTCAATCAGAAATTCATACATAGGTAATTTCCCAGTTCGTAATCTTTGATGCAATTCATTCAATATAGATATCGGATTTGGAGTTACTAATTGAATATTGTTATTATTATTGTTATT